TTCTGCCATTTCCACTGATCCCCAGGACCGTCAGGAAGATCAGGGAGGAGAAGGCAGCGGTGATCCTCATAGCTCCCCTGTGGGCACGTCGTCCATGGTTTTCACTCCTGAAGGAGATGGCCATGGCTCCACCTCTGACCTTACCGCAGTCCCCAGACATGCTCCTGCAGGGCCCCATCTGGTAACCGCATCCCGACTGGCTGTCCTTGACTCCGTGGAGGTTGAATGGCAACGTTTCTCTCAGCTAGGCTACCCAGACAAGGTTTTGGCAACCCTTATGGCCTCAAGAAGGCAGTCCACCGTTCGCATTTATAATACCACTTGGAAGGCATTTGTGCGGTGGACTAGGAGGAAGAAGCTGGATCCTCTGGATCCTACAACGGCAGATGTCCTTTCCTTTTTAGAAGACGGTTTGGATTCCGGCTTGAAGGCAGCCACCTTACAACGGCAAGTGGTGGCATTATTGACCGTCCTCCCTCGCATAGGAGGATACAGGATGACCAAGCACCCCTACATACAGCTGTTTCTACAAGGGGCAGCCAAGTCGCTTCCTCAGATACACAGGTTCCCAACCTGGAGGCTACACATGGTTTTGACAGCCCTTACCAAAGCGCCATTCGAACCTCTCAGGGAAGTCGGAATGAAGTGGCTCCAGATGAAGACGTTATTCCTGGTGGCGATAACCTCAGCACGGTGGGTCTCAGAGCTGGGTGCTCTATTGGTAAAGGCCATGCTCTGCGTCTTCCACAAGGATAAAGTGGTACTTAGGACTGATCCCACCTTTCAGCCAAAGGTTTCTTCCACTTTTCATCATGCTCAAGAGATCTATTTACCTACTTTCTGTCCAAAGCCACAACATCCCAGAGAAAGGCTATGGCACACGATGTCAAACGGGCATTAAAGATTTACATCGTGCGCACTGAATCTCTATGAAAAACGGACTTCATGTTCATCAACATCTCCTTTCCACATACGGGAAATCGTATGTCCATGGCTTCCATCAGCGCAGTCCTTCGGTCATGCATCACGGAGGCCTACAAGGAGTCGGGAATTGAAATTTTCAAAGGGATCACGGCCCATTCCTTAAGAAGTCCGGCAACCAATGCGGCCTTCACGAATCGAGCTTCAGTCGAGGAGGTCTGCAGGGCCGCTACTTGGATCTACCTTCATTCGTCACTACAAGCTAAATACAATTGCGTCAGCCGATGCAACATTCGGAAGAAGAGTTCTTCAGCACATTCTCCCTTCGGCTGGCGATGATGACCCACCCATTTAAGGGACACTGCTTTTGGAGGTCCCATGGAGATGTCCTCCACCTCAGTGGGAGAACGACCTTTGGCACTTACCGTGAAGGGTCCTTCTCCTCTGAGGTTAGGAGGACATCTCGGCCCTCCCGCTTTCATCATCATTCTTTTGCCTGTGTTTCTCTGTGCTGTTCTCTTCTTCTTCTACGTTCTTGTTCTACTGTTTTATAGTTCTATCATTAATGTTGGAAGTTTACCTGCTTGGTGCAGGGGAGTTAGCCTTAGTTGATACTCACTGCTTACAGAGTCCCAGAACTGAGGGGCAGGGCTATTCCCAAGGTGCCAACAGGAAGGAGAAAAAAGTATTTCCTGCCTCCCTAAAGGAACGATGGGAATAACCCATGGAGATGTCCTCCTAACCTCAGAGGAGAAGGACCCTTCACGGTAAGTGCCAAAGGTCGTTCCACAAAACAATAACAATGAAAAATGCTCGGCGCGACCGACACCCCAAACTGAAGCCGATGAACTTTAAAAGCCCCCTTTTGAGTTGCGATCGTTTGGGCCTCAGCAGTGGCGGCGTCCACCGGGAGCTGCTGGTATGCCTGGGCCAAGTCTAATTTGCTGAAATCCTGGGCCCCCACCAAAGCTGCGATCACGTGGCTGACCACCGGTACCGGGTACGCATGGTCTTGTAGTGCCTTGTTCAACGTGCATTTATAGTCAGCACAAATGCGCACGTCCCCATTGGGTTTAACCGGGGTGACTATCGGGGTCTCCCACTGGGCAGAAGTGACCAGTTCCAGCACCCCCTGTTCCACCAACCGATCGAGCTCCGCCTTGATCCTAGGCCTCATAGCGATGGGGGGAGTGCCTGGCCTTTACCCTGATGGGGCAGATGACGGGGTCAAGGTTGAGGGAGATGGGGGCCCCAGTGTAGAGGCCGCGTTTGCTGTCAAAACCCCTGGGGAACTCGTTGCACACAGCTGCAAAGTCCCAGCAAACTGGAGAGCCTCCCCACCACCACCAGCAAGTCCAATTTTCCACAGAAGTCTTTGAACTGCACCGTAAACTTTCCCCAGCCCCGGAGTCCCGTGAAAAGTACATTGTGCCTCTCCATAACTGAGTTTACATTTATAGTGCTGGCAAAATTGAGGATTTGTCTCAGTATTTGCTTAGATGTTTTACAATTGCAAGGGTCTAGGATACTTCCTCCTGCTCTGTTAAATAGCAATGACTGTAGGTAAATGCATTGTAACTGCTTGCTTTCTCATAGTTTGTGGCTATAATGTGACTGAACATGTAAAATCATGTGTTATCTGTGTAAACATGAGGGCCAAACTAGACATGAATGGATCTCCCATAAATTTTTATAAAGTGTAAATAATAGCTGCAGGCTCCCATTGGAACCATACATAACACAGCAAGCTGGGATTTAGCCTTTGGAGGTGAAATATGCAGGCTCCATAAGGATACTTTAAGTGTTTTCCCCTGTGCAGCAATTAGCAAGTAGTCATACAGAATGTCATGATTAGATCAGGAAAATGGCATGAAGTGTAAGGGTTAAACTCACCTTCACCCGCTGTGTTGTAGTCCTGATCCAAATCAGGTTCTCCTGCAGCTATGTATTACTACATATTTGATATTGTGTATTTTTGCCACCTCTACCTACTCACTGTAACTTTTAACAATAGGTAATATATCAGACTATAGAAATAAAATCTATTATATATCTCATAATAAGAAAGTAGAAGATACTTCTGCTCAGGATCCACTTCCTTATACATTTATATTCAAGATGTTACATTTAAAACTTATTCTCGTTCTGCTTCTACATATCAATACATTTATATAGAAATGTTTGAACTGTTTCTCATTCTAAATTTCTCTCCTGCTTGTATAATACACACTCTGTCTCTCTTCAAATGTTGTGATTGATTTGTTTCTCAGATAAGTCGTTAATTTCACTATTACTGCATATGCAGCAAGTTTATTTTCCCATTTTTCTCGCCAGGGGCAGACACCTAGTTTCCATTTTGCTACGTAGATTTTAGGAATTTTCATTGTGATTAACATCCCATGTTCCTAAGCATGTTTACAAAGTGGTAACTCCCAGCTGGCTTCAGTGTAGGTTATTCCAGGTAAAGGTGAATCAGAATGCAGCCTGGAGATGATAGACAGACAGACATTTGTTGTTGTTGTTATTGGACCATTCTTATAAGAGTGATTATTGTTTTTCAGTATGGTGAATTTTTGTACTGTTCAAACATTTTCCAAATATTTTCTAATATTCAAACATCAATATGATTAAGGGGCTGTGTGTGAGAGAATTACAGTTAGAATGGTTTTTGAAAGCTACTTCAAATCTATACTGATTTGTAATCAAAACCCTGTACTGACATACCTAAGATAAGGCCCAGTTGAGAGAAACAGTTCACCATGTGATAAAAGTATTCCTGAACTATACAAATGTAGACTGCAGGTATGAGATTGAATTATTAATGGCCCCCATTTAAAGACAAAACCATACTGAACATATAGCCTTTCTGTCAAGGGAAATGGTTCTTTTCTACACAAAAGCTTTCACATGTATGGAATTCTGTAGAGTAACTTCCCTGACTTCTCAGTCGGCACAACTGTGTTCTTTTGCAGGTGATTATGCCATCCTCCCACTCTGTAAAAGGAAGTGGTGTGTTCCAGGAACAGTTTTACCATGTAATGAGCTATTTGTCTTCACTCAGCCCAATTTAACCTACAGGCTGAGTCACAGGCATGATCTAGTTTTCAAGATGGAATTGACAAGAAAGAAACATGTATGGGCAATGAGAAATTAGAAGTAAAAGGCAAGATTGTAAGAAGTGAGAACACTAAGTTTATGCATGATCACACACTTTACTAATCTGAAAACAGATTATTTATGAGCAAAAATTAATACTTGATTTTTCCTATGAGAGTTTGCCAGTTTTTGTCCAGTATGCTTGTTACTGAATACAGACAGAAAGTTAGTTTGGGGAACTTAATGTCAGAGGATGCGTAAGAAGAAAGGATTACAGGTTTTTAAATGGGATGTAGTGTGTTTTATTTTGGAGTCAAGCAGTTCAGTCTTAAGATCCTGCTACACTGGTGACCAGCTGATGCTTAACAGGCCAACTGTGTTCTCCTACCAGCAAAACAATAGAAAACTTTATCATTTGAAGGAATTGAAAGCATAGAAACTGTACTGGAGATCATGCAGATAAAAGTGATCCCAACCAGGGTGGATTTGATTTAAATCAAATCAATTTAAATTTATAGTCAGTAAGACTAGATTTAAATCATGTTTTTCTACATAAAGACTCCTTCTCGCTGGTATAATCTTCATATTTACAACCAGATGAAAGCTTCACTTTTAGAATAGCAACTTTTCAAATTAGTTTTACAGTTATATCAAAAATTACTGATTTGGTTATACTGTTAGAAACGCATCATAGATAGATGATTATGAAATTATTGTGAGGTGAACTATCTCCAGTTTAATAGGTTAATCATTCATATTTGGACACCTTTTCTGTTGTACTTTATTGGAAGGAGAAACATATTCATTACCTTAATAATAACAATTTAAATAGTTTTATTTAACTAAAACAATAACATTATAGCATATGTATTCTTGTATTTGATTAAACATCCATGTTTGTTAACTGATGTGGTTAAACAAAGTATCTTTAAAAAAACAAACACACTTAGACTATCAGCCTTGTCCACACATGAAAAACTTAAAATACTGCCCTCTATAGTTCACTCATCTTCATGTTCTTGTTTGTTCATAATCTAGAAAAGAAAAACAAGCTTTCCTGCTTTATTGGGTCCCAAATGATTTCTCAATTTAGAATGAATGAGTCCAAAGGAAGAGAATATTCTTTCTACGCTAGCAGAAGAAGCTGCTGCTGTTAAGTGAAATCATTACTTCGTTTCTAAATCCAAGGGCTTAAGTGACTTCCACCAGTTCACTGGTGTGATTTTCTTTAAAACATCATCAGCAAACATATTTCTTGAATGGTTCCCCTTTAGCTCTGAAGTTTATTATAGCTGGCATTACAGATGGATGATTGCTGGATACACATGTCATAGTTAACTCCTCTTGCTCAGCACTTAAGGTTTGACCTTGGTCAATATTGACAATATTTGTGAGAAATTAAGCTGGAGACAGTGCTTTTCCCATTCGTTTTTTAATGCTTGTAATTTAATTCCGTTAGCCAGTTTGGTGTAGTGGTTAAGTGAGCGGACTCTAATCTGGGAGAACCGGGTTTGATTCCCCACTCCTCCACTTGCACCTGGCTGGATGACCTTGGGCAAGACGTAGTTCTGATAAGAGTTGTCCTTGAAAAAGAGCAGTTTCTGTCAAGAGCTCTCTCAGCCTCACCTACCTCACAGGGTGTCTGTTGTGGGGAGGGGAAGGGAAAGGAGTTTGTA